AAATAAATTATTATCTGCTCCTTTCCATAGACCAGCAGAAATGCACAGTGCAGTTGTCCAAACCATCCCGCTTACATAATAGATAAATCTCTTTCCTCCATTCCCTCTCCTGTCCTTCTCCTCAACTCAGTAACTCTCTAAAAGGAAAATTTTTAAAAGCTCAGATCATAGCAAATAAAGGTATCATAAATCTCAAGTTCTGGCTCTAGTAGTAAAATTTCCAAAAAACAGACATACCTTCTTGAAGATAGCATATGAATTTCAGGTGGGGCTGTGGAGCTAGCTCAGTGGTCTAAGTAACTGAGTGGACAAGAGCAAGGACCCGGGTTTGATCCCCAGCACCACATGTCATGCTGACCTGGCTCCTAGTGTGCCAAGTAGGCAACCAACACCAGGCACGGTGATGCACACCTGTAATTCCAGTGCTGGGGAGGCTGAAACAGGAGGATCACTATGAGTCCAGCTGCATAGTGAGACCCTGTACCATATATATATATATATATATATATATATATATATATATATATATATACCCATACATCCATGATAATTGACTCCCACCTCCCCATGAGGCTATGGAGGAGTAAGTATCAGAGACCCCAGACATTAGCATCCTACCTTTACCTGGAGGACCTTCCATCCACATTTCCTTTGGCAATGGGCTCTGGTGTAACTTGGGTCGGGCAATTTTAAGTGTCTTAAGCTTGCAGAAACCTCCTTTCTTTTTCTTATCTCTTCCATGACACATACTCCATACTACCTCTCTCTGTTTTGTCTTTTTAAAATCACCACCCACATGTTTCTTGGATCAGTTTGTCATTCACAAAACAGTGTCTCATTTACCCTCTCAAAACCCAGTTAGGAAGACAAAAGAATTTTCACTTCATTTTTGTGTGTGGGTGCTCAGATAGCTGAGTCCTGGAGAAATAAACAGTCCAGCCTAGGTCAGCTGACTTAGATGTAGTTTGGGGCAGGCAGGGGACCTCCTATTCTACTCACTTGCAGCGAACACAGCCTCCCAACGAGGCGCAGGCATTAAGTGGCTTCTTTTGGGATTGGTACTTTGAAAGCCTCCTGGCTTGGTGAATAAGGAGTCTTTTTTGCTGAACAAGAAAGGAGCTAATTTTACATGTTCACCATTCTTCATGGCACTGTCATTGCAGAGAAGATTTCTGAGAGCAGTGACACCATGACCACAAAAGTCACTAACTGCAAAGCCCACCTCACCCTAGCCAAGCAGAGCATATTTTATTGTGGAACTTTTAAAGATCATAATTTCTATGTCCTGCAGAGGATATATAAAGCTAAAGTACTAGAAGAACCACATTTGATAAAGCAGTCAGCCACAAAGATCAAATGATAAAGTAACATTTGCTAATTAGAAAAGTAATTTGACCTATAGTGTACTGCGAAGATACCACTTTTCACAACCACCCCTTCATTTTTTTCCTCTATTCTCTTCTTCCTTCTTTCCCCTCATATTCCTGGGGCCCATGCTGTACCATGTGGACAGCAGTGTGAAAGCTCTGTTTTCAAAGTATTCAGTACTCAGGCATTTAGGCAGTTTCTGAAACACTTTAAATATCCATTTGAAATATGCTTGGGTGGTTAGACAGTGACGTGCTTAGCCTTACTATACCTCGGAATCACTGAGGCAGTCAGTCACGGCTTCACGTGCCTGTTGCCACTCCGACTGCAAAGGCCCCGTGTCCGGAAAGATGTGTGCTTGGTTTAATGCTCTGCTGTCACAGTTTTGAAGTTCCTCATAATTTTTGAACAAGGAGTTCTGCATTTTCATTTTGCACCAGGCACTGGAACTTATGTAGCCAATCCTGCAGGCAGCTTTTGAGTATTTCAATGCCCAGGCTGTACCCAGACCAATTAATTGGAATTTCCAGGTGAGACCCAGGCCACTGTACTCCATAAGACTGCTCCAGTGACAGCAGGAGGCTCTCCACTTTACAAATCCCTGTCACAGGACAGAATTTCTCAATTGGGATGTTTGTGTGCATGTTGTGAGGGACAAGATTTACATGAATTATTTTCCAAACTCTATATACACTACTGTATATAAATAATTCTGATATCTAAATACTCTGATTGTACCTGACTCTTGGAAGTTTTAGCTGAATGACATCTGTCTCCCTTCCTTTGATAATGAGTTGCTGTGACAGTCACTAAGGAGGAACTGTGTAGACCTACAGATTTGGGCCTGGTAGTTTCTAGATTGGAACTTCTATCCAGAGATAGAATGGCAGGAAAAAAGATGAGCATAGATCACAGCTTTGGTTCTGATTCATAGCTGTGCATCTTAGGGCATGTTTTCTTTTTGCTTCTTTATTAATAGTATTCTTTTAGTAAAATGGGCATTATAATACTGAGGTTGTAGGACTCTCCTGGGGACTGAATGAGATAAGACGTAAAAAGAGCCTAGCACATAGTAGTTGGTCACTAGGTCAATATTTGTGTACCAACTATTCCAGGAAGAACTATTAGTATACTGTCTCACCTCTCAACTACAGTATATATTTTTCCTAAAGGATAATAGAATTCACTGTGACAACATGGAAGAGCTGCTAATACTATTTAGTTTACTTATCAAACATGCAGTTTCTATGCATCCAAAGTTATCAATAATCAATGTTCCCTGCATTGTGTACACATATACACAAACTTGCATGGCACATACATTCGTACACACACGTACACATTTATACATACATACTTGCACGCATCTAGTCACATAGATATGCAACTACGTCCGATCAGTTCTCTTGTTCTACTTCTCCTTAAATTTTACACATTTTAACTACCAAAGTGGTGCTTATTTTAACAACTATAACAAAATAAGAGTGACTAAATTAAGTTTACTCATCTCTACTTCCTGCTGCCATCTCCATCCTTCTAGTGTAACCATTTTTAAAAATAATTTGAAATTAAAAATAAATTTGATTTGGGGTTTTCGTATTTTTTTGCATGCACATACACGTTCCATATGGGCACATGGTGCATATCATATTCTATGAGTTCTTCCTGTTTTTTGCTTCAGAATAAAATGTGCATATATTTTGAGTCAATACCGCTCAGCCACCTATTAGCTTCAGTAGCCCTTGGGGTTCTGGAAGTGGGCATACTTTTTTCTAACCATTCTCTGATGCAATCATTCAGTGTCTGCCAGTAGAAGATGCTGCTGCCATGGACATTCTTTTACATACTGTATTCAACTTCTTTTGGATAAAGCAGCAACAAAGCTTCAGTGGTTTATATTACACTTTCAGCTTCTGGGAGCAAACGCTGGAGCCAACTGTGAGCAATCCGAAACATTATTGGCCAGGCGAGATAGGCAAGTGAGCACCATCTCCATGAACTCCTTGGGAGTTGCTTTGGTTTTCCATTGTCCAACAATGGACAAGGCAAAGGCCAAATAAATAAAAATGCGTGTGATGCTCCATCTTTTGTTGGCCCACCTGCCACACAGCAGGCAGTGTGGTGGGTGCTCAAGTTATGAATGCGAAAGAGTTTCTGTCTGACCTCAAGCAGTTCACCACTCCAGCACATGATTGAATGTCAAAGCCAATGTTGAAAATGCTACGTATCTCAGCCTTAGGTCTACTCTGAAATCTTCCTAATGGTGCTCACACCAGCTTCTGCTCCAACTCCATGTTCTGTCAAGTTCAGTAGATGGTTGAGGTAATTTTGCGTGAAGTCTTTTTGCGCAGCTTCCTTCCAGTCTTTTCTGCAGCAGAAAACCAAAGCTACTCCCAATGAGTTCACGGGGACGGTGTTCCCTTGCCTGTCTCACCTGGCCAATAATGTTTCTAATTGCTCACAGTTGGCTCCAGCATTTGTTCCCAGAAGCTGAAAGTGTAAAAGAAAGTTTTCCCAGCAGAAAATCCTCTTCCCCCTGACAGGCCTTTGACATACATTTCAGCTAGGTGCTTACAAGTAGGTATTTGATTGCTTCACATGAAGGAACTAGAAGTTATAAAACCAAGTGAAGTCATCAAATAACCTTTGAAATCACCTTTGACATCACATTAAACAGAACTCAACAGACTTTTTAAAGCAGCTATGAAATAGCATCATCAGAATTGTTTTATTCTGTTGGTGATTTTACTGCAAAAATGTTTACGTGCTGTGGCACCCATGGAAGTTAATATCTTGTACCCACTTGGAGAAATAATTTGCTGTTCAGCCGGCAGGAGTGCAGTTAGCCAGTGGCCTCCAGCTGCAGCACCACTGCTGCCTGCTTTAGCTTTGTTGCGGAGGTCCAGCTCTTCCACGCAGCCCCCGGCTGGGTGCTGGGCGTGGCTGCACCGTCAGGACCTGGTGCAGTGTTAGGGCCTAGCTACTTCCGGAATGGCAGCTCTTGCTTTGGAGATCCCGGATAGGTTGGCTGGGACTGTCACATCTGTCTGGCCTGCATCTTCATTGTGATCAGACTCTCCCTGCCCAGTCCTGTTTCTTTCTCCTTTCACAGCTCCCAGATAAACCTCTTTTATTCTTAACTTGTTAGGGTCTGCTCTCTGGAGAACCCAACACATGGCATTTTTACAGCAATGTACGATCACAAACAATGTAACTTGTGTTCAGAGGAATAAAATACCCAGACATATGTCCCTTCCTCAAGAAATTCTTCCAACAGGCTCTGATAAAAGTGAATTATGACTGTTAAAGTGAAACTGATCATTTCATTTCAACTATTCAACTGGGACATGCATGAAAAATTAAATGTGGGGGAAAATTCATAAGTATTCTGAAAAATAGTTGCTAAACTTTTTTAGAACGGGCGTAAAGAATGTATTTTAGTATTCCTTTTGTGTTTTGCCTGAACTGATTAAGCCAAGAAATCCTAGTTACAATGACAGAACCCCATTTCAATTTCTGTCACTTTAATCACAATTCTATGTTGAGCACCATTGTTCCTGATAAGATGCTTCCCCTTATGGTTCCACAGATTGAGAAGGAACAAGATACTAATTGCATACTTGTGGTTGCAGGAGAGTTTGGAGAGGTATACAAGGGACGTTTGAAACTGCCAGGCAAGAGGGAAATCTATGTGGCCATCAAAACCCTGAAGGCCGGGTATTCTGAAAAGCAGCGTCGGGACTTTCTGAGTGAGGCCAGCATCATGGGCCAGTTTGACCATCCCAACATTATTCGCCTGGAGGGTGTCGTCACCAAGAGTCGGCCAGTCATGATCATCACAGAGTTCATGGAGAATGGTGCTTTGGATTCTTTCCTCAGGGTAAGAGCAACCGTGGGGCAGAGATGATGCAACTTGGCACTGTTGGATGCAGAACAGCAGTGGGAGGGAGAGAGGTAGCCTGCCGTACAAGGATCCACTGGTCAAATGTGGGCAGAGGTTGGAGACATTAACAACAAAGAGAATACAAAGATGAACTTGTACGCTCCCCAAGAGGATGGCATAGAGGAAGCTCAATAAATGCTGTTGGGTGAATAATATGAGCAGGACAAGCAATGACCATTGGCACCTGCGTGAATCACAGAGATTGAAGAGGCCGGATGGTTCCCCAGCTCTGTGTGATGCATACAGATGCCAGTGCCCGCCCCACCTTCATCCAGCGCAGCTGCCCTTAGAGCCTGTTCTCTTCACAGGCTGTACAGAGATAAATTAAGTTTCCCTTTTCTTACTTTTGAGCCACCTTCCTCCCAGGGAAGCTCTTCAGGGCAAGGAAAGGTAAGGCCATGCTCAGAAGCTTTTCCTTATATGTGGCTTTCAACCAATCTGCAGCAGAAGTGGGAGGTAATTAAGTGCCTTCTGGTTGGAAGACCTATAATGAGTCCTTATCAGCACATTCCCCCATGAGGCCAGGCTCATGATGGAGCCATGTTCATTTTTCTAGGATATCACAGAGCCATATAGAGGAGTGACCAAGATTGGCCAAGGTGCTAGTGTATGGGGAGTAGAAGCTGAGCCTTTGCTGGGGTGCAAGATGAGCCTTAAGAAGGTGCTAGTTAGGAGCCCAGTGGTATAGGTTTCAGGGGTGATGCCCAAGAAATGGTGGAATCATCTGAGGCAGGACTTAACAGTGATACCCGGATGTAGGCTCCGCATGTAACTAAAGCTACCAAGCAATAACTATGGCTACTGATCAAAGGGACATTCCTTCTCAGTCAGTCAAATATGCATGGGCTGACTGCTTTGGCAAAGCCATGCTAGAAGCTGAAATGCTACTACAACTCTGTGTAACAAATTACCCCTGGATTTTAGTGGTTTAACACAAAAACAGTTTGTTTTGTCCATAGATGTGTGATTTCTGAGGGGATTTTTGCAGGGGGGTTGCATCTCCTTCCCTGGTGGAGTCAGCTTAAATTCTGGGACTCAGAATTATCTGAAGGCTAATTCACTTGTATAAATAGCAGTCAGTGGGAAATCAGGGAGCACATTCCATGTGCCCTGGGCTTCCTTAAAGTAAGTTGGGTCCCAAGAGGAAGCATCCCAAGAGAAGGAGATAAGAGCTGATTCACCTTTGTGACCTCGCCTGAGAGGTCACGTAGCATAATCCCCACCAAAGGGACAGGTATATCTAGATTCAAGGGGAGAAATCCTTCCCCATGTTTTGATAGGGAGGCAGCAACCCTGTATAGATCTCTTTGCATCCTCTTCCAGAATGTAATCTGCCATAGGTTAGCATCTGTCCTGAGGACCACAGTACCCAAAGCTTCTAGCTATCATCTGCCTGTGTTTCATCTTTTGTTTCCATGAGTAGAACACAGAGATATCAGAAAGACTTGAATCTTCTTGGGGAAACCCAGGAAGGGGTCAAACAAGAGAGTTTAGCTGAGGTTGGAGGGGAAGGAATTTTTCAGACAGGCAAGGAACAGGCAGGCAGCCTGGTGAACTCATGGACTAGTGTGTTCAGCAGCTAAGCACAGTCTGTTTGGTTATCTGCCAGCAGCTGTGTGGAGGCTCCAGAGCACAGGAACAAAACTTAGAGGCCCCAGTGTGGAAGGGAGGCTATGGAACTCAGTTAGAAGCTGCATTTGCCACCTTTGTAAGGGAGCTCATGTTTGTGGTCTAATCTGGGTCATTTGTTTTGGGAAAAAGTGATGGAGGCAACTGCTGCAGATTAGAGCGAGCATTGCTTTGGTGCAGCCTGCTTGAAGGTGTTAACTACGATTTTTTATTGAGAAATCTGAGTGCCTGGCATAATGAGCTCATGGTAAATGCTAGATGAATGAGAGTCATGCACAGTTATTCCTGAAAGAAAATATTAGGGAGTGGCAGGAGAGATCTACCAGCCTTCCTGTGTGTATAGCCACATCTATGCTTTCCTGGGAATCTCTACTTGTGATCAAAGCTCTCACAAAGACAATCAGATAAATGTGAGCAGAAGGCAATGTTAGAAGAAGCAGTATTTTCATAAGACCCTTTCTGAAGTCATTTATTTCTTGCCAGTCACCTAACTGTACTTCAGAGAAAGTCGCTGCATTGTTTGGGAATTGTGATTAGACTCCCATGCCGGGACGTGCAGGGGAAGGGAGATTCAATCTCTGGTGCCTGCAAGAGGTCAAAATCACATGCCATAGCTTCTCCCAGCTTTTCCACTCATGGTCCAGGACACAGAGGCACGCAGCGCACCTGTGTTTTTCATGATGACGAGGTCTGGTGTGCGGTGGGAGAAAACTGAGGGGCCAGAGAGGAGCCCAGGGAAATGGGGGAGAGGATATGACAAGAAGGGGCCGGCAAGAGCAGGCAGTGCCAGGAGCAGAGGGGAAATGAAGTGTTTCTGACTGCTCACACCGCGTGGAGGCAGGTAATCTATAAATCTAATTTCAGCCTTACTACCGAACCCTGGAGCATAGCAACATTAATTGATGTATCTGCTGCTTGATAAAATTGAAAAAATAGGTCATCAGTTCAGTTCTACTGGGTCCATCTTCTGGGAAAGAGGATAATTTTAGGATCACCATTCAGAGGAGATAGGAAACGAGTTAGTTTTCAGTTCATGCACCTGTTTCCTCTTCTCCAACTCCTGGACGTAGGACCTTTGGAGAATGGCCGCAGCTCTAGTCAGGTCAGGGCACTAGGAACACAGTTAGCACATCAGACACAGATTCTCACCATTCCCCTCTTGTTGCAAGACCTAGAACTCCTCATATTCCAGAGGGATTGAAAACACATGATCTTTAAGCACATGCTTAGTAGGTAGCTCATGGGAAATCCTTTTGTTTCTTTTTCCATGATTGAGCCATGGGCGCATATTATACATAGCCATCATTAAATATTTTCTTCTTGCCACTCAAATACAAGAGGTTTGATCTGGGGCTTCTGCCTAATCTTGGGAGCAATTTTCAAGGCTCTGCCTAATGTCATGTGCCTTAGCAAAGAAGGCTGACCTGCACCATAGGGCCTTATTTCCTAAAGTGCAGCCTTGTGGTTGTTGCTAGTTCACAGCGTGATGTCACCTGGGACCATTGACACCAGGAAAGCTCATCCATGGGCTGCAGTTAGAAGATAGCAACCCAGATGTCAGGCAGAGAATACCAGATTAGAACTCTAAGACCAAGGTCCTACCTTGGGTTCTGCGATGAATCACCTCATGGCCTGGAGCAAGTCTGCGAACTCAATTTTCTAATCTATAAACTAAAGGCATTGAGCTAGATGAGCTTCAAAGTTCTCTTTCAGTTTAAAAAAAAAATCTATGATTCATTCTCTTCAAACAAATCAAATAAGGGTTTCATTTCCTGAAGTGGATTTGTCAATGAAAGTTGAAATACCTAAATCCTTCTTGTCTAATATAAGGGTCAGCAAGTGGCTTCAGTGCATTTGCAGAAAAGCAATTTCAGCAAAAAGCACTTCATGAGGGGAAGAAAGTCTAAATCATTTCACCCAGGCCTGTTTCCTGCTCTATGCTGTTGTTTCCAAGCGCTCAGCACACAGCCAAGTTCTTCCCAAAGTCCCTGAAGAATCTTTGTAGTTGGTATGTTTCTGTCTTCCTTACTTTGTATGTGCATGCTTTTGATATCTTCAGAAGTTCAGAAGTTCTTCTTGGAGAGTTCTACTGATGGACTGAGCATAAAATCAGCTGGATATGTCAGAAAATCTCAATATGTTTATATCAGTAGATTTCAAGATTATGAATTCAACAGACAGGGTCCTGGTCATGGTGGTTTATAGTTCCTCGGAAGACCCTAGGGAAAATGTGTTGCATGGCCCCTTTGCAAAGTCCACAATTCCAGTGAACAAGATACTGGATGCGAGTTAAAGGCGTAGATAAGAAAAGCATCACTCGTTAGTCATGCCCCTTCTTGCCTTCTTCCAGCTGTACCTACATACTGCCTTCTGCACATAGCATTCGAGCAGCCGTTACAATTGGTCTAAGATGAGATATCAGTGCAGGAGCAATTTGCCATGCTGGATTTATATTCATGTTATAACTCAAAATCACACAGAGTGATTTAAAATCGACCATTTAAACTTTCTGGACTTCCATTATCTTGTCATGAAATATGTAATATTCCCTGCCTTGCCTGCTGCAGAGACCAGTTTTAAGGCTCAAAATATATTCTATCAAGAATGACTTGCCACTCAGAAATCAGGAAATAGAAGAAATCAGTGTTTGTTAATTAATTGACCTGGACTTCAGGCTTGTATCATTAAGTCTTAGTCATCCACCACCATAGCAGAATGGTTGGGTAGGGCTGCTGTAGATGTTGCCTGCTACTTGTTGAGCTGATAATGCCCTGCGACCTGGATTCTCCAAGGGTAATGGCTCCCCTATCACACCACTGAAGACTTGCTGAACCAGAGCTCTGGTCTCAGGAGTCCTCAGTCCCTCTTGCCATGTATGTTTGAGGCACAGGGAAAAGCTTCCTTGGAGAACACTGTGGCCCTGCTGACGGTAGAGTGGCCATTGTCACCTTAGCATCCTTGCTCACCGGGTAAAGCTTTCACATGTTATCCTATTTTATTTCATCAAAACTCAGTGAGGAATGGACATGAGGTTCTATGTTTCAGATTGGAAATTTGTGCTTTGGAGGTTATATAACCTCCCTGCGCTCATGAAGGTAGTGGCTGGCAGAGCCTGCCAGCAACTGGTCCTGTCTGACTCCAGGGCCCAGACATCTAACCACTTCTTAGCTCTGTTGGCCTAGAAATTGAATTTTATTTTATTTTATTTATTTATTTTTATGTGTTTAGTACAGGGTCTGCAGAATTTTACTACATAGATTAGACTCATGATCCTCCTGTTTTCAGCCTCCCAAGTTCTGGGATTACAGGCACATGCCACCATGCCCAGCCTCAATTGCAGTCCCAGTGTGCCCTGGGTGCAGGGCCAGCTTGGTTTGTGGTGCCAGGGATTGAACCCTGGTCCCAGCCCTCTGCCTAAGCAGGTGCTTTAGTCCGCCGAGCTATCTGGCTAGCCCGAGAAACTGAATTTTAAAACAAATAACATAATAAAACAAGTCTAGGAAGACTTAGATGACTATGGAAAAATATACACATTATCCCATGTGCTTTCAACATTACTCTTTGCGAAGTTGTTTACAGCCACCACCAGTGCCCTCCCCAAAATGTCAGCTTCTTTAGGGAGACATTCATTTTTAACCACACTGTCACGGAAACTTGCGAAGAGGAAATAACAAACTGAATTGAAAAAATACAACCCGTGAAACTTGCAGCTGAGATATATTTTTTGCAATCTCCAGAAGTTCCATGACAACTTTTGGAGGGGGCAGATCCTGAGAGGCCTACTTGGAGAAACACAGGATGCTAGCAAGAGGCTGGCTAACTTGCTGAGAAGGTGTTGATTGAAGTTCATTAGCAACAAAGAGAATTCATATCACTCACTGCACATCCAGCTTTCACAGATGAGCAACATGTGCTGAAAAACAGGCAGAGTTTCCAAAAGCAGTTCAGCACTTGCTTTGGGAGCTGGCTGGAAGAAACACTATGGAGGAAGCAATCTGGGAAGGTTGGGAGGTGCTTAAGGTTTTGAGGTAGAAGCAGCCTGGAGTGTGGAGTGGGTCAAATCCAGCACAGTTAGGGGCTCTCCAGAAGGAGGAGCTGGGACTCCAGAAGTATCCGTTGCCTTCACTCCCTCAGTTAATCTGGGGCATGGCCCCCCAGGAAAGAGAACCGGTTTGTAATCTTGCACGAGAACTAGAGGCAACAATTAATTGTTACGCTTCATTATTGTTAGTGTTTGCTCTCATAAAGAGGGTATGTTTATAATAAGTCATTTATGACTCCTTGTTAGGTTTTGCATAGAAACACATTTCCCAACCACATGTACAAATGACATGCCTGCACTTGCTTATGTTGAGATAATATATATAAATATATTGTGTAACATATCGTGTCACTAGGTGCTCCGTGAGTGGTAGGGCCTCCCACTGCTACGCTTCCTACCTTTCTCATGAGGACACTGTAACAGAGAATGTGGCTGGTTTGCCCAGTATCTGTGTTCAGTAGCAACTGACCATGTACTGCCTCCTTCAGTCAGTGGAGTCCAATGTCTGGTCCATGCTTACTTATGGAACACAACTCATGACTGCAGTCTTGGGGAGCAGCTAGAGTTGGACTAGATAGAGAAATATGTCCTTGACAGTATGACCCAAGGTCTGCACATTTAATCACTTTGCACAGAGCCAGGACCCAAAAAGTTTGTCATAGCAAGAGAAAGGCATGGATTTATTGATGAAGAGTCTGTCCAACCAAGAATAAGCATCCACACAAGAAGCAGTGAAGCCAGCAGTGACTGGAGAGTGGGCGGCCCTGCAGGCCATGTGAGAACCCGCAGCAGCAGCTCCCATTTGCCTGCAGAGTCCCACACGCCAGCCCTTGTTTTCAGTTTCTGTGGCTCTGGTCTCCAGGAGGTAATGTGGTTATCCCAATGGAAAGGATGACAGCTCTGAAAGCACCCAACGAAGTCACCTTCAGCATTTACTTTAGGAAACAGGAAGCTGTACCAATCATTTACTCAAGTTATTTTATTGGAGCTTTGGCCCTTTTCTTTTGTCTTTAATTTTGGAAACACAAAGAGATGAAGAAGTAAAAGGAGGTTTTTACTCCTTTTTGTTCAACCTTTCAGCCCTGATAGTATTGTGATGACCTCAGAGATGGAATTCCTGTCTTCAGAGAGGTTAGAGTTAAGTAAAAAATACAGGCACACACTCACAGAGACACACACAAGGATTAAAACTTGTTGTATGTGCTAAGAACAGTGAAAGCACGCAGGGAAGGATAGCAGTCAGTGCTAATTACATTTGCTGGAGGGGGGGTAGTTACAAGGATAGCCTTCCTGAGGAAGAAACATTTAAGTGAAACTTGAAGGGCAAGTAAGTGCAAATTGTGGGGGAGAAAACATAGGGAATGGCGTGTGGAAGGGTCCTATGGCTGGACAGGCTTGGTGTGGGAAGAACTGAAGGCTTCTTGGTCACTGTGGCTTCATTTAGCACAGGAGTGAGGGGTCTGATGGCCTAAGATGAGATAGAAGTTTGTCCCATGGGTCTGTAGGCATGCTATTGAGTTTGGAGGTTTTCTTTAATTCAGTGAGGGGTATTAGAGAATTTAAGCTAGAGAGTGACGTGGCTTGATTTATATCTTAAAAAGATGGCTCTGGCTGCCACAAAGAGAATGGATTGCAGAGGGGCAGGCTCCAGAGGCTATTACAAGTGATGAATGACGCTGACTTGGTTGGAATGGTGGCAGTGGAGAGGGAGAACAGTGGATGGGCTTGAGACGTAGTTTGGAGAGGAAATCGACAGGGCTTGGCAAGAAGAGAGTGGACCACTGAAGGGAAGATGATGATGGGGGAGGGGAGAAAAGGGCTCCTGTGAGCTGTCTGCCTGGCACTGACAGAAGCTAACAAGTAGCAGGTCTTGGCACCTTGGCTTCTGTGGGACCACTGGAGCCTGTCTTGATCCCAATGCTCTTTATGTCTCATCACAGCAAAATGACGGGCAGTTCACAGTGATCCAGCTGGTGGGTATGCTAAGGGGCATTGCTGCTGGCATGAAGTATCTGTCTGAGATGAATTATGTTCACCGGGACCTGGCTGCAAGGAACATTCTGGTCAACAGTAACCTGGTGTGCAAAGTATCTGACTTTGGCCTCTCTCGCTACCTCCAGGACGATACCTCAGACCCCACCTACACCAGCTCCTTGGTGAGTCTTTCCTGTTATTCTCAGGGAAATTACAGCATGAAGAAGCATGGTTGCCTGTGACTGGGGAACTGTGGCACGACATACTGGGCAGGACTGGGACCTGAACTCATCTCCCTGCTGGGATAACCAGACGCTGGGAGGCTCATCTGCTTAGGAAAGCAATAATAGCTGGTTACCAAGGAAGCCACTTGGGCATAAGCTATGTGGACGTGTCAGTGGCTACTCTCAAGTCATAGTGTATTTTGATCTGTGGGAAGAGAAATTTTGCAACTAATGATTTTGGACAATCCAAGTAGGTACACTGGCAACAAGAGACATTTGTCATCAAGTTGCAGGCTCAAGACATATATCAGGATTGCAGACCCCAGGTGGTGGGCGCCACGTCATGAGGTCAACTCCCAATCTCTTTCCCTTTTCCCTCTATAATGCTTCCATATAGCTGTATCTACCATGCTCAAGATAACTACCCTTAAATTTGCGTCTTCTGTTTAGCCTCCCCCTCCATGTCCTGAGCCACTGTTATCACCTACATTCAGCCACTTCTTTCCCCAGGGCCCCTTAGACCTTGTGCAAGTCTGAGACAGAGCACTGGATTTAGTCTCCATCAACTGCTCCCAGGTTCCCTGCTCAGTAGCTAGCACCCATTAACTGACTGAAACTGAACAGTCAGCCTGGAGTTACACCTGGACCCTGCCGGTTGTGCCCACTTGCTCACAATTCCCCCAGGTTCCTATGAAACTGACCCCTTTCCCCTCTCTGGGACCACTATCCCATGCCAAGGTACCTTCTCTTTTTGCCTGGATCATTACAGAGGCTTTTTAGTGTCTCTGGTTTCCTCTTGTCCCTTTTCAATAACATCCAAAGCAATTAGTCCACCTAACTTCTTGCTTACCTAGCTGTCTTCTTGAAATTTCAAAAATGCTATGAATGTAAAGAAAAATACAGGAAGTAAAAGCAAAAGAAAAACTAATAAGTTACAACTCCCCTGAGGTAGAGTCAATAAAGTTTTCCTTAAAGAACTGTCTGGTAAATATTTTAGGTTTTCCTGGCCAAAAGGCAAAATAAAAAAAAAATTATGCAAAAAAATATGAGATAATTATATAACCATTTACAGTGTGATCCTTTTGAAAAGTCATAAACATCATTCTGAGCTCATGCACTATAAAAATGTGACCACCAAATTTCATGCTTAACCCAAAATTTATCAACCCCTGGTAAACTACCTTTTCAAAAGTCAAAAACATCAATTTTCACAGTTATGTTTCCTTTCATATTTTTCTCTTTGCTTGCAAACATGAGAACACTTTTTCTATAAAACTGGAGTCACACTATACCCATTTCTCCACCTTCTTGTGTATCTCTTGAGCACTGTTACTGCCAGCTTGATTCTCCAAAACCTTATAAATACTCACTGTTCCCCAGCAAGTTATTCATCTGCCAGCATCCTCGCTGATGCTAAAGGTCATCAGTCTTTAAAATTTGCTAATAAGATGATGGGAAATGGCAGCCTCGTCTTGTTTTAATTTGCATTTTTAACTACAGCTAGATGTATTAATGTCTTTTTACAAAGTCCCCGAGATTCATGTCTTCTGTTGTCTATATGTGTTGATACCCTTTTTTCTGTTAGGCTGTTTATTGACCTTTGCTAAGAGTATTCACACTTCATATGTCATATATGATATAATTAGTCTCCAGATGCAGTGTTTTCTTGACTCTTTATGCTATACTTTGGCTTACAAAGTAGTTTCCACATAGTGTACCTTTTTCTTTACCTCCTTTTAGGATTCCTGGTTTGTTATGAAAGTTTCCTTCACTGAAAGGTGATGCAATGCTTATTAAAATTTCTGCTTCTTTTTATTTAGGGAGGATGTTTGATATTTAAATATTTAGTGCACATAAATTTTATTTTTCCTAATATTTTATTTTTTAAAAATCTAAGCATACAAAGAGTACATGCTTTGACTGGAGTTGGTTATGTTTATTTTTCACTTGAGAATGTTAGACATACAATAGAATGTGCAAGGCTTAAGGGTACAGTGAGTTTCTACAAATGGACACAGCTACACAACACACACTCCCAAAGAGCCAAGAAACATATCCCTCATCCCAGGAAGTCCCCTTCACACCCCCCTGGCCTGTCCCAGGCAAGACTCACCTGCACACAATGAAAGATAACCTCTATTCTAATTTTATTTTTTCATAGGTTTGTTTTGAACCGCATGTTTTAGAACCTCAGATGAGTGGAATCATACAGGATATGTTTTCTGTGTCTGCTTGCTTTCACTTAAAGTTATATTTGAATTACCTACATCCTTGTGGAGAGCAGAAATTCATGTCTACTCATTGCTGGCTTTATGGTTTATTCATTCTCTTGAAGAAAGAGACCAGGGATATCCTGAAAATCATTTTTGAATATATATTGGGAAGCATATTTCTACCCTGCTTTGTTCAGATGAATGGGCCACTATGTCAATGCCACCTATCATATATATTTATAATATATATTATATATATTATTCATCTTTTATTGAGTCACATGTTTATAAGGTCTGTATAGAAACTAGGTTGGTTCTCAATTCTACTCCATTTACCTATTCTTTTTTTTCTCCCTTCCCACCCATTTACCTATTCTTATGGTGAGCCATATTGTTCTGATTATAATAATAATTAGCAAAAAATTTTCCATCTATGCTATTCTCTTTATAATAATTTTAGTGAAAACCTTACTGTTTGGACAAAGTGAATTGACCCTTGTTCTTTTTTATTAATTAATTTTATTAGTACATTGTTGATGTACATAATGTCAGATTCAGCCTATGGAATTTGTACCTGTACACAATGTATCTTAATTCTTTTGTTCCCCACTCCCCTACCCTCCCTTCAACCCCTCTTCCCTTCCTTATTTACAAAAGCTTTGTTTCCATGTTTTCCTGTTTTATTTTCTATTTTCCCTTCTTTTCCCTTTACTTCCCTCCCTCATTTCCCTTCCCATTTTAGCATTTCCTTCCTAGTTGATAATGTCTAATACACATTTTGGTCCTCATTTAGGCTATGTTTCCCACACCAGAGCTACAGGCAGACATTGGAGGAGTGCAGTATTGCACATGTGTGCGTGCTCAATTTATTTCATTTAAGAATATGATCTCAAGATGCATCCATTTACCTAGAAGTGTCTCAAATTCATCATCCTTTATGGCTGTATTTAAAAAGTACATCTTTATTCTCTTTTAAAAAAATTCTTTGACCATTTTCACATACCTTCCCTTTGTTCTGTTTAGATTCTCCCCTCTTTTCTCTTCCCCCTTTTCTTACTAAAGGCCAAGCCAAGGACTGTCCTATTTGCTAACTGGTTCTCTCGGCCTTTGGTTGAGATGCCCAGTGGTCAAAGCACATCACAACCCTCCACACCCTGTCTACAGCAGAGGCTGGAAGGCTATTAATCTTAATTTAGTTTTTGATTTTCAGCCTTCATTTCTTTGCATCTATTTTTTTCATGTTAACTATAAAATTACTACACAACAAACATTAAGTAGACATGCATTCATACATACACACATTTTTTACAAAGTCCCCGAGATTCATGTCTTCTGTT